TCTGGATCCTCAGCACCCAGCACATCACCTGGAGCATTGCAAGTGACCAACTTATCGATTGACATATCTTTCCTCAGGCATTTTTCTCAGCTACCATGAATACATGTGTCCTTGTCTCTTACCAAAGCATAACATCACACCTCTGCTGCAGGGCTGGAAATAGAGAAATGTTTAAGGTGAAAATGAAGGTGGCTGAAGGTGAATTGGCTGGGGGACCCCATCCTCTGGCAGTGTGGTGGCTTGCTTCCTCGCTGTGCTGTGGGCCACACTGACCTGAACAGAGCTGTATCTGCACGTGTGGCCCATTGAGGAGGAGCAAAGAGGCTGCCTTTTGTCCATTTTGGATCCAGCAATTTTTGCTTAAACCGTATCGACTGGGCCTTCTTTTTGTTATCAGTATTTAAATAACAGAATCAAGTAAGCTAAAAAGCACATAACAAAACCTATTCCTTGCATCTAAGATCAGTAAGTGCACATACTTACTGGCTTCATGATAGATTTTTCTGCAAGAGTCTCTCAGTCATCCTTTAGCATAGATTGGTGGCTTTTGCAGTGTGGTGTGGGAAATAGAAGGGATTCTGTGCTGATTTAGAGTCGAGAAGACACAAGGTCTTGTCCTAGCATGGTCTCCATAACTCAGATTCTCACATTCCAAAGTCCTTCCCCAATCAGAAAGTATTGGATCTGGATCTTTAATAAGAATTAGAATTTTTTTTTTTTTTGATTTATTGTGGAGACGAGGTCTTGCCATGTTGCCCAGGCTGGTCTCAAACTCGTGGGCTCAGGCAATCCTCTGGCCTCAGCCTCCCAAAGTGCTGGGATTACAGGCTGAGCCACCGAGCCCAGCTTAAGAATTAGAATTTAAAGATATGTTTGGACAATGGGGAGGTGAGCGAGTACGCTCTTTTTAGAAGAACAGCTTTCACAGTTCTGTAAATAAAAGCTGATAGACCCAGTTTGGGATCTTTCCAGAAACTTTATTCCCAGGCTATTTATTTTACGTTCCTATTTTAAGGTTGTTTTGGCAAAAGAAAAGTAAAGGCTTTTAACTACTTTTTGTTCTCTAGTAGGAAAATCTCCAACTTTGGGTGATCTGGAGTGGTAGGTTAGTCAGTACCACGTATTTATGTGGCTTTTGCTGTTTTTACAGAGGGCACTGTGCTAGATGTTAGAGAATGACACAGAAAGACACAGAGCTCATGAGCTTTAGGAAGAAGCCTCACATTCACTTGCAGGTTGAAAAATACGTCTAAAAATCCCTAGCTAGACCAGCGTGTAGAGGTTCCCACTGACCTTACCTGAGACGGTTTGAGCATAAGAAAATAATAATGATTGCAGTGAATCAAAGTACATATAAAACCATAAGATGATGATGATGACAACAACAATAATAATAAACCAAAAACTCACTGATCACCTTGGGGTTGCTAGGGATCAGCACATGTTTCAAAGTTTTATAAGGGAAATAATTTTTTGAAATAGGAAAAAATTCTAACCTATACTAGGTGGTCAGTTGAGGAGCCAGGAAAGAGAGACTATATGGAATTGTTTCATACTTGTTGGTGCTGGAACATGAATCCTTGGTTGTCTGTTTCTCCTCTGTGCCAGGTTGTATGACTACCAGTGAAGAGAAGGCAGGCTTCTCTTTCCTACACTTACCAAGGACTGTGTGTATGGAGACTGCATTGACTCCTGGCTCCATCTCTTACTGTGTGGCCTGGGGCAGGTCATGTAACCCCTCTGAATGCCACTTGATTTCTGTGAAAATAGGGATAATGATCTTAGTGTTATCAGGCTAAACTGAACAGAAGACTTCAAAGCCACCTTATAGGCATTTCCACATGCAAAGTCCCTTCCCCTTGGGTGTTCACTTAGAGCAGCATGGACTGTCTAGTCATCAGTTTGAAGGGTACTGTGAGGTTTCCAGGGAGTCTTCAGCTTCTCTCCTGCTGTGCTCTTGCATTCTCATCACCTAGCACCATGAGGGAAGTGACTATAGCCCTGCATTTCTTCCTTGGCACCACTGGGAAGCCTGATGTTCCAGAAAGCAGCAAGCAAGGGAAGAAGCGGGAGCGTGGAGGTTGCATTCCTGTTTCTCTCATCCAGTAGACAGTGTTCTCATGCCAGAATAGTTCTAGCATGTCCTTAGTGTCAGACTCCTGTTCGTGGCCATCAGCTCCCTCCCCATACCCACTGGAACTACCTCTCTTGACCACCAATTTCGAGATAGTGATTTGAAAGGACCCACCCTTCATTGTTTTTTGTTTTGTTTTTTTGAGTCTCTGTCGCCCAGGCTGGAGTGCAGTGGCATGCTCATGGCCACCACAGCCTTGACCTGCTGAGCTCAGGTGATCTTTCTGCCTTAGCCTTCCAAGTAGCTGGAACCACAGGCATGCACTACCATGCCTAGCTAATTTTTTTTTTAAGTTGTAGAGATGAGGTCTCACCATGTTGCTCAGGCTGGTCTAGAACGCCTGAGCTCAGGCAGTCCTTTTGCCTCTGCCTCCCAAAGTGCTGGGATTACAAACATGAGCCACCTTACCCGACTCTACCCTTCACTGTTAAGGAATTATTGATCCATCTGTGAAACTGAATTTTAAAACTCTAAAAATTGGGTACTTCTGTTTGTTCAGGTATGCTATTTTTAGCTAAGAAACAAACATCAGAGTAAGAGAAGAATGGACAGGTTTGGGTTTGAGTTTGAATCCTAGCTCTGTTTTTTTCTGACTCTCTTTCCTAGGATGAGTTATTTGATCTCTTTGAACCTAATTTCTTATTGCTATTATGAGAAATAATACGTCTTATGAAGTTTAGAAAAAATATGCCTGTGCTTCATATAAATGCCATCTGTTGATGTTGTTACTATTGTTCGTGCTTTGGTTATGCACTGAGTGTGGTGAACTGAGTATCTTTACCTGATTCTTAGATTTTTACCCTAACCTTGTAAACATCTCCCAGCAGGTCTTTATCCTTTATGTAGCTGATGCAGCAGGCCCCGTGTAACTATGACTTACCAGGGTTACCTGGGCATTTACTGGCAGACATAAGACTGGAACCCAGATCTTCTGAGGGCTCTTCCTTCTGTGCCACACACTCTTCAGGAGCTGTGTGTATTTGCATGCATACATACATTTGTATGTTTCTGTCCTAATTTGTTTGTTTGTTTGTTTTGTGTTGGAGTCTCACTCCGTCGCCCAGACTGGAGTGCAGTGGCACTCCCAGCCACTGCAACCTCAACCTGCTGGGCTCCGGCGATCCTTCCGCCTCAGCCTTCCACATAGCTAGAACTACAGGCGTGCGCTACCACACCTAGCTAATTTTTTTATTTATTGTAGAGATGAGGTCTCGCCAAGTTGCCCAAGCGGGTCTCGAACCTGCTGGCTCAGGCAGTCCACTCACCTCAGCCTCCCAAGGCACATGATTACAGGCTGAGCCACTGAGCCCGGCTTCTGTCCTAATTTGTTTGCTGAATATGGTCTTAGAAATCATTTAATTTATCCAACACTTGCAGGAAAAGGACTCACAGTAAAATTAATTTTCACTTGTGTTTGCTGGATCAACATTAGAATCCTCTAGCACAACCAAATGCCGCTGGAGGTCAAGGGCACAGCACTTCTTTGGTAGGATGGGCCAGCAGGCCATTCATGAACCAGAGGGATTGGCTCAGGGTTTAGGGCTACATTCCGGAAATGAATGTTCTTCCTGCGTTTGCCCCAGTGTTCAGTGCTAGCCGAGTCATTGGTGTTGGAAGAATTTGGGAGCTACAGAGAGGCCTTTAGGATCTGTTCCTCAGTGAAGGAGCTGCAGCTCTAAGGCCAAAATTCCTTAGTGGTAGAGCTTACATTCAAGTTGATGCCACGTGTCTGGCTACCCTGTCATGCCTGTAAATGGTTACATTAAATTTCTAATTTAACTGATGAAAACATAGAAATTAAGTAGCCATGTAAATGGAAGTTGTTTTATTGCAGACTCGCTGGTTTCACTGAAAAATACCTGACTCAGTAGTGAGGGAATTATATTCAACCACATTGATTTACCAGAATTACCTGAGCCCCCTACCCTACACTCATTTATGAACCAGAGGTCTAAGATGGGATAAATGACATTTAGAATTTGATGAAGATCCATGCGTGGTTTTGATGTCCAGCAGGGATTGTGAACTGGAGACCCAGTGTCCAAATTTTCACTCTTTAAAGTGCTGCTTTAAGGCCTGATGCTAGTAAAATGCCATCAGATATGGATGACCAGGGTTTGCTTTTCCTGTACAAGCAATGTGTGTTGTCTTATATTTCCGGCATACACCTTGCTCAAAGATGAATACAACCTAGTCCCTATCCTCTAAGCACTTCAAATGTATGGGGAACACATTTGCCAGACAGTTGCAGTGTAACATACTGAGTGAAAGGGCAGGAGATATGCCAAACCCAGATACCCAGGGCATAGGCATGGAAAGATTCCTGAGGGAAACATGATCTAAGGGATAATTTGGTGTCCGGGGTGCATCCTGAGCAGAAGCACAGAGCCCTGAGCTGGCCTTTGCTGCCTTGGCCTGTGCTGCAAAGACTACTGCTGTTCCCATATTGAAAGGAGAATGACTGTGGTGTGTGACTCTGAAGTAGTGTTCCTGGCTTCAGAGGAATGGAATACATCTCGTCGAGTTCCTGGGAGTGGGCCAAGTCTGCCATCATTTAGGCAAAGAGGAGTCCTCAGAGTGTGGACAGGTTGTGTTTCCTTGGCTGCTTCATCTGATACACTGAGGACTGCTGGACATGAGCGAGGGCTTCCCCTCCTGCGCACTGTGCTTGTTCTTTGGGATCTTATGACAACACCAAGATTGCTGTCAGGATAGCAAAGCTATTTCTGTTCCTGCTGCAACTTGACTCTTCTCAGATTTTTATTCATCTAGTATGTTCGATTTTATTCACACCTGAGAAGAACCCAGTGGGGAATGAGGATGGTGTGCCCAAGACGTTCACAGTACCTCCCCCATTCTGTTGCAGCTCACGTGGAAAATGAGGAACAGTACACCCAGGCTCTGGAGAAGTTCGGTGGCAACTGTGTGTGCCGAGATGACCCGGATTTAGGCAGTGCATTTCTCAAGTTCTCGGTGTTTACAAAGGAGTTGACAGCACTTTTCAAAAACCTGGTAAGTGTTCACTGTGCCTACACACTCTCAGTGTGTGAAACACTACAGTTACTTCCTTTGGGAAGGTAACTCCATAGAGGATACTTATGGTTTGTTTGATAAAGTAGAAATAACTTTCATAGCTCCTGTGGCATACCTAAATCATTGTATTTTTTATATACATTGAATCAATTTGAAATAAAGTTTAAAATTGTAGTTTTTACTCTAGCAAGATTTTTAGAATTTAACTTGGCTTTTTTTTTTTTTTGTGTGTGTTGGAGTCTCACTCTGTTGCCCAGACTGGAATGCAGTGGCACACTCCCAGCCACCACAGTCTTGACCTACTGGGCTCCAGCGAGCCTTCTGTCTCAACCTTCCAAGTAGCCGAAACTATAGGCGTGCGCTACCACACTTGGCTAATTTTTTTGATTTATTGTAGAGATGAGGTCTTGCCAAGTTGCCTGGGTGGGTCTTGAACGCGCGGGCTCAGGCAGTCCACTCGCCTCGGCCTCCCAAAGTGCTGGGATTACAGGCTAAGCCACTGAGCCCAGCCAACTCAGCATTTTAAATGTACACAGCTATGGGACAAAATGAGTAAATGCACTTATCTTCTTAAGAGCCTATGGCTTCAATTTTTAATAGTTTCTAGCCATGTAGAATAGTGTCTGTTTCTGGTAATTATAGTAGGCATTTAAACTTGTAATAATTAACAAATATGTTTCAGGCCCGTCTTAACACAGCAAGATAACCTATAATCAAAGTACAGAAATTATCATGAATGTTTAAAGGCCTTTTATCTTCCCAGATGTCAAGCAGTTAAAAAAAAAAAAAAAACCAGATCTGAAAGAAATACCTCACTTTCTAAACAAGTGGAAATGTGGAGTTGGTGTGACTGCATGTGACCTGTGCTTGGTAATGTTGAATGAATCGTGTCTTTCTTGTGCTTGGCAGCTCTGTGCTGTCCCCATGGTGGGAACAGAATTCTGAAGCAGTGGGCAGCCTATTTGGGACTGTTTGAGACCCTGTCTGGGTAGGATGGACCCTGGGAGTGTTCCATCATCTCTTTCCTGTTTTTCTTCGCCAGCTTCTCCTAAAGGTCATGGAAGACCAGGTCAAGAACTCAGTTATGTGTTCTGTGTAGGACACAAACAACAGCATCTTTTTCATGTCTCCTGTCAGGAAGCTCGTAACAAGTGAAGGAAAAAAAGGCTCATTCTTGAAATAGTGATGATAGTGGGTTTGTAAGTCTCGGCAGAAATGAGGGAACATAACGTGAATTAATAATGAGAAGGAAAGTACAGGGTCAGGAATGCCCTTGGTCTCTCTCCCCATCTTTACTTGTAAATATTTCTGTTGGAGATGGCAAAAACAAAAAGCTATTGCTTTGCTTGAGCTTTCACTCAGAAGTATTTGAAATCCCTTGGGACTTTGGTCAAGTTTATCACCCTTAGTCACTGCCCTTAGCAGGGTGGCAGCCTGCACCCTGTACAGTGGGACCCTCACCCTGTCTCAGCCCCGTTCCCTCGATGCGCTCAGACAGGATGTTAGGGTCTCACCACTGAGTCAGAAGAGATTGGAGAATTTTTTTTAAAACTGGAGAAACAACACGGTCCAAGGGTAAAAATCTGTAGATGCGGACGTGGTGGGGTCTCCTGGTGAAAATGTCGGCTTGCTGCCTGATCTCCCAGGCCCTCGGTCGAGAAGCCCCTTCCACTCTTGCAGAGCTGCCTGCTGCTTTCTAGTGCCTCTTCAATATAAGTGAGCAGCCTCGAAATGAGGGAGACCAGAAGCAAGAAAGTGAATGTGGAGGAAACAAAGAACCGAAGAAAACTTTAGAGAAACTATATTTAGTTTCTCAGAGAAATCCTAGGGAAAGAGTGGAGTGCAGCTTGTTATTAAAGAGGTCAGGGGAGACAATTAACATAAGAAAATATAAAATTAAAAATCCAATGGGAAGGGCGGGAGTAGAAGAAATCTGTCAGAAAATAGAAAAGACAAAAAAAAAAAAGACCAGAAAGTGGGAAATAGTTAAAATACAAGGATTAATCCTCAAGGTCCAGTATCCAACTGACAGGTATTTTAGAAAGAGTATGGCATCATGGCAATAATACAAAGGACAATTTCTAAAACAGAAGGATACAGACTGAGGGACTCACAAGTGTCCAGCACAATAAGGGAAAAGACCCACCCCAAGGTACCTCAGTGTGCTATTGCAAAAGATCTTGGAAACTTCCAGAGAGCACCCAGAGGATTCAAAATCAGAATGGCATTGAACTTCTCAACAGCAATACTGGAAACTTTAAGGCATGGAGCCGTGCCACTAAAATCTGAGGAAAATAACTCAACCTGGAATTATGCCCAGCCAGCCGAACATGAGCGTAGAATTAAAGCTATTTTCAGACATGCAAGGCTCAAAATGTTAGCTCCCATGTGTCATGTCTCTGAAACTCCTACAGGATATGCTATGGCGAAATGAAGAGGAAAGCCAAGAAAGAGGAAATTGAGAGAGTTCAGGAAACAGGATCCAGCACAGGAAAGCAAGCAGTGGAAGGGAATCCCAAGAGTATGGCAGAGGGAAGTCCCAGCAGGGCTGCTGAGCAGGTGGCCTAAGAAGCAGCCAGCCCAAGACGACTGATGATGTCAGAGAGCGTGCAGGGAGACCTGGATGTGGCTCCTTACCCCCATACAACTAGCTCTTTTATCTTCCTTCAGCTGCTCTCTAGACCTGGATTTTCTCAGCAGTAAAATGAATAATGTTGTATCTGAATTTCTATTATCATCTGGACATTGTGACTGACACATTGCTCACCACCCTGTGGCCTTACCAGTTTTAGTACTTCGAAAATCTCTGCAAGCCCTAGTTGCTAGCCAACTTTCTACAGCAAGTGAAGATATCAGTGATTGTGATTTGATGAGCGCCCGTGGTATAGCAAGCACTGGGCTGGACATGAAGGATATTCTGTATCATTTATTCCTCATGGCAGTTGTGCAGGGTAGCTTATATTACCTTATCTTAACAGTCACCTACCGTGTCCTTAGCTAGTGGAGGACAAAATTGAGATTCAAATCCAAGGCTTAAAACCTCAAGTCCATGTTGTTCCCTTTGTAACATGTGAAGGAACCAAGACCTCTTTTCAGCTCTCTAGGGTATAAAAAAAAAGACTAACCATAAAGGGAAGGCAACTCAGGGAAAAGTATAACATGAAGAGAAATAGAAGTCCAGGATGTGCTGTGGGAGTGACTGCAGGACAGCATCTTTTTTTTTTTTTTTTGAGTTAGAGTCTCACTCTGTCACCCAGACTGGAGTGCAGTGGCCGCTGCTCCCGGCCACCGCAGCCTCGACCTGCTGGGCGCCGGCGATCCTTCCGCCTCAGCCTTCCAAGTAGCTGGAACTACAGGTGCGCGCTACCACGCCCGGCTAATTTTT